GGTTCTGTCAGTATTGATTTGTAATTCTATGCAAATTAAATCAGATGATGTTTCATCAGCAATTCCTCACAGTTGAAAATGATTGTCTTCCATGATTATCTGTGGGTCCAAAGATGGTTGACAAAGCCAATCTGAAATCTACAGCCTCTGTTGCAACTCAGGCACGTGTTTCTGTCCAGGGTGGGTGGCTCTCAATTCTTGATTTAGTCTACGAAACACTTTCTGCTGCTCCCACTTTTTCTTTTCCTGTGGTTGTCAAAAGGTTTCAAAGTACTAAGATCCTTTCAGCAGACTCTTCCTCCATTTGGGGTGGTCCCGGGTGATACTCTCCCATGAGTTGATGCTGATGTTACATTTTTTCAAGTTGGCCTTGAGGATTTTTTCAAGTTGGCTTGGGACTGGACATATTTAAATCAGCAGGTCCTGATGATCTCCACCCCAGAGTGCTGAGGGAATTAGCAGAGGTCATTGCAGGACCCCTGGCATGGTTTTACGAGCACTCGTGGTGCTCTGGTGTGGTGCCAGAGGACTGGAAAAGGGCCCATGTGGTTCCCATTTTCAAAAAAGGGAGGAAGGAGGACCCAGGAAAATATAGGCCAGTCAGTCTTACCTCAGTCCTGGGTAAGTTTTTTTAGAGAATTATCCTGGAGCATGTCTGCAAGGGGCCAGCAGGGGAGGTTATGCTTAGGGGCAACCAACACGGGTTCATTAGAGGCAGGTCCTGTCAGACCAACCTGGTGGCCTTCTATGACCAGGTCACAAAATCCTTAGATGCAGGGGTAGCAGTGGACGTAGTCTTTCTGGACTTCAGGAAGGCCTTCGACACTGTCTCTCACCCCATTCTCATTAAAAAACTAGGGGACAGTGGTGTCGACACCTACACAGTCAGATGGGTCACTAGTTGGCTGGAGGGCCGCACCCAGAGAGTGGTGGTGGACGGGTGTTATTCAACCTGGAGGGATGTGGGCAGTGAGGTCCCCCAAGGCTTGGTCCTTGGGCTCCCACTGTTCAACATCTTCATCAGCGACTTGGACAGGGGTGTAAAAAGCACCCTGTTCAAATTCGCAGATGACACTAAGATGTGGAGGGATGTGGGCATGCTAGAAAGGAGGAATAGGCTGCAATTGGACCTAGACAGGTTACAGGGGTGGGCGGATGAGAACATGATGGGTTTCAACATTGACAAGTGTAAGATACTGCACCTGGGGAGGAAGAACCAGCAGCAGACCTACAGGCTGGGGAACTCCCTTCTCGTCAGTGCAGAGGCAGAAAAGGATCTTGGAGTCATTATTGATGCCAAAATGAACATGGACCTGACACTGTGGGGACACGGTCAGGAAGGCCAACTGCACCTTGTCATGCATCCACAGCTGCATCTCGAGCAGGTCCAAGGAGGTGATCTTCCCCCTCTGTGTGGCACTGGTCAGGCCGCAGTTGGAGTACTGTGTCCAGTTCTGGGCGCCGCACTTCAGGAGGGATGTGGACAGCACTGAGAGGGTCCAGAGGAGGGCCACTCACATGATCAGGGACCAGCAGGGCAGGCCCTACGAGGAGAGGCTAAGGGACCTGAACCTGTTCAGCCTTCACAAGAGAAGGCTGAGGGGGGATCTAGTGGCTGTTTACAAACTAGTCAGGGGGGACCAGCAGGCACTGGGGGATTCCCTGTTCCCTCGAGCACTACCAGGAGTGACAAGAAATAACGGTCACAAGCTGGCAGAGGGTAGATTCAGGCTAAATATCAGGAGGCGCTACTTCACTGTCAGGGCAGGTAGGATCTGGAACCAACTTCCAAGAGAAGTGGTGCTGGCTCCTACCCTGGGGGTCTTTAAGAGGAGGCTGGATGAACACCCCGCCAGGGTTGTTGACCCCAGTACTCTTTCCTGCCATGGCAGGGGGTCGGACTTGATGGTCTGCTCAGGTCCCTTCCGACCCTACTAACTATGAAACTATGATGTCCTTGAAGCACATTCTCTGCCCTCCTCTTTAAAACTTGACTAAGCAGGAAGAACAAAACTTGCTTGGGAGTCTGGAGTCAGATATCCAGATGGCATGGCTGGCCCAGTGAACTTGATGTCAGAAGATCATTGCCTCAATACTCGTGGTTTTTGCTTGCAAAAGGACACTCATTTTGGTGTATCTGTCTTCCCACTAGATTCAAAGCATCTTCCATAGGCAGCGTTGTTGGTACTTCTCCAGCTACTTGAGGTGTCTCCTGTATATTGTTCACATCTCAGTTCCATACAGGAAGGTGGGGATCACAACTGCTTGATAAACCATGAGCTTGGTTTCAGATCTGATGTTGTGATCTTTGAACACCTGTTTCCTTTGGCATCTAAAGGCTGCACTTGCACTTTTAATCCGATGTTGGATTTCTTTTATGTCAACCTTCTGTGAGAGTTGGCTTCTGAGGTACTGGAAATACTCAACAGTCTCCAGAGTCTCACTGTAAATCTGAATTAACAGATCTGAGGACTGCTCATTAAGAGCTTGTTAATGGAGGACCCTAGTCTTCTGAATGTTAAGTGTCAGTCCCATTTTCTCGTATGCCTGGGTAAAGACATCAGCAATTGCCTGAAGGTCTGCTTCTGAGCAAGCATCATCAGCATACTGGAGCTCAATGAGTGAGGTTGGGGTGGTCTTGGTTTTGGCTCAGAAGTGGCTGAGATCAAACAGCTTACCATCCATTTTGTCTACTCCACCTGTAAGTCTGGTGGCTGTCAGATGTAATATTACAGTAAGAAATATTGAGAAGAGTGTTGGAGTGATGACATAGCCTTGCTTAGCTCCTGTCTTAACCTCAAAGGGATCTGTGATAGATCCATTAATGAGAACCACTGCTCACATACCGTCATGGAGCAAGCAAAGAATGGTGATAGATTCAGTGGACATCCATACTTCAGGAAGATCCTCCACAGTGCTTCTCAGCTGACAGGGTTAAAGATTTTTGTGAGGTCAGGGAAGGCCATGTAGAGAGGTTTATGTTGTTCCCAGCATTTTTCCTGCGGCTGGCAAGCAGCAAAGATCATCTCGGTTATGCTTCTTGATGCCCTAAATGCACACTGAGATTCCAGGAAGAGCTCTTCAGCCAGTGGAAGGAGACTGTTCAGGAGGTTTCTTGCAATGATCTTTCCTATGGTGGACAACAAGGCAATCCTTCTGTTACTTCAACAGTTAGACCTGTCTCTTTTCTTGAAGATTGTCATGATTATGGCATCCCTAAGGTCATCTGGGATTTTCTCATCATTCCAGATCCTTAAGATGAGGGCAGGGAGCTGTGATGTGAGCGCCACTCCCCCCTGCTTGAAGATTTCAGTGAGGATTCCATCAGTTCCAGATGCCTTGTCACTCTTCATCTGCTTAATGGCTTTCCTCACCTGGTCAATGGCTAGAAGGATTTCAAGATCATCTCTGACTGGGTGTTGCAGTCTTGTCAACAACAGAGTCTCAATTGAGGACTTCAAAATGCTCCATCTGACAGGTGCTGATGGCTCCACTTTCCTTGATCAGGTCTCCTCCATTCTTAGGTTTCAAGGGGGTTGGTCCCTGAGTGCTCAAACCACAGATGGCTTCGGTGGCATTGAAAAAAACGCACATATCATGGATGTCAGTGAGATGATGAATCTCCTTTACCTGATGTGTAGATGATATGTAGGCAACACCTCATAATGTGAAAATACTAGAAATAGCTTAAGGTAAGCCACAGACCCTTCTTTAAACCTTGCCACATTTAGGCATGCTCAAAATAATGGGTTAAATCCTCAATCACACAAGTTATACCCCAAAAGCCAGTACGATGGCTCCAGATTCACTCAGAATGGTTTTAGGTGCTTCAGTTGGAACCAGGAGGAAGTCAAAATCAAGAAAAAGAAGTTAATATTTTTTATTTTTGCTTAGTCCTAGGCACACTAATCACACTTCATTTATTATTGCAAAGCTCTCTGCAGGGCAAAGGTGCACCTCTTCCAGGCATTCAGTCTGTAGAATGACATAGAGAAAACTATGCAAGAGGCAAGTCCAATAAAAGATATTACTTACACAAACCCTTGCCTCTCGCATAACTCATGGACCATCATGAGTACAGCATCACTCAAACACAACCATGGAGAAAACTATTACCACTATTCTTAACTTCCCCCACCCTATGAAAGCACCTCTAGGTTTGCACGGTTTGTCACAGGAGATCATTTTTTAAAAAGCAACTGAGCACAAGGCAGGTATTGTAGACATACAGCATTCTCTTGCCCTCCTGGAAGATGTTAATGAATTACATTAGAAATAATACAACTCTCTCCTTTTACTTTAAGGTTCAAGTGTAAAATCAACAAAGAAAACAAGTTCTTGCTGGAGATATTTAAGTTTTCTCTCTCCTTACTAGGTTCTTCTCTATAAGACAGATAAGGAAGTGTTATGGAATTACTAAAATATGTAAGTAAATGTGATTTCTAGCCAAGAGAAGAAAAAACCTTGCTCAGAGTACTCAAGATTATTTTTTTTAAGTAAACCCCTTGAAAGTAATCAAACCCGCTTCTTGCATGTCTCTTGCACCAGAAATACGGTGCCAGATCCTCTGCTAAGGAAAACTAGTATAGTTACACTGGAGTTACTAGGTTTCTACTGGATCACTCTAGTTTTAGGTCTAGTCTACTGAGTCCATAATTAGTCAGGAAAGTGGATAGTCATATGAACCCAGGCTGGTTGCATTCAAGTCATACTCCTGTTGACAGCCAAGGACACCAAAGTATGATCTACATTTATATCTATGTACTGTGTACATAACTGGATATTATCCTACTTTCCTCTACACAGATCTGCTTACAAGAAGAATGCACCTTCAGAAGCCAGAGTTGTTCTTACTCACGCTCACCTCTGAAGGGATGAATCAGGCTCCTGGCATTTCTTTCTACTGATTTCCATATGGGTAAGATCCTGTTCTCTCCCTTTCTGATGTTTCAATGCAGGTTTCGTCAGAAAAGAAGCACTAAGAGTTTAAGATTTCTCACCCACGCTGTGTGTGGCTTAAGCACCAGACTGGCCATTCCTGTGTTCTAAATGCAATTCTGATCCTTACTCTTTCTGTGGCTCTGGGCAAGTCCCTTCTATGCCTCTATCGTTTGGGTAAAATGCTTACCAGCCTGTGACAATTAAATTAGAGATTGGCCTAATTTACAGCTAGTATAAGTTACCATTCTCCAGATGAGAAGCCAACCTACTGTATGCAAAACACTAGATAATATTTCAGTACCTATATTACTACTGAGAGGAGCTACATTGTTCCTACCTAAAAGGAAAATTACAGAAAATAGTAAGAATCCAGCATCCATACTACCTTGTAGTCCAAGAGTCTTTCATTCATTTTCTTGGGCTTTGGACCACATCCATAATGAGGCACTGTTAATTGCACTTGGATATGGAGTTTACATCTGCTATTGAGCCAGTATTACCAATCTCATTTTTTCATGCCTGCTGGTCCTTATGCCAAGATACTATTCATAAACAGTAGCTAAGCCGCAGAGCCCATCACTCCCACCACCCTTCGTCGCTGGTTTATGTCACGATCAATTTTCTAGCTGCATATGGATGTCCACAAGGCGGCTCATCAATTGTCATCCAGAGTAAAATAAGTGGCCAGAGGCTTGCCACAGGTGGCTAGAGTCACACAATTCTCAGAGTATTAGACAGCCTCTTGCTCCAGCTTAGCAGATATAAAACAGTCTAAGAAGGAGTAGAATGCAAAGTCACAAAAATCCTATTGATCACACTGGTCTTTTTATGCAAAGCTAATTCATAAACTGCCATTCCTAAAAATAAAGTTAATAAAGGATTCTTGTAAGTAATGTATTAATTCACAGAGAAAAATATAGTCATATATACATATACTCATATATGGCGCTCACACACACAGGCACACCTAGTGCTTACTCATGCTTGAAATAATATGCTAGTTATTGTAGTAGAAACTCATCTACAATCTTAATTTGAGGGGCTTCCAATACTCCATAATGGACAGATATTGGTACCTCACCCCCAGCGTGCGTGTGCGCGCGCGCGCGCGCACACACACACACACACACATACAGGCTTACTGAGTGCTACCCAGTTCTCAGTGGAAAACTGAATTTAAAACGTACAATATCCAACCCTTCTGCAAACAGCCATGCTTACCAGTAAATGAGAGACAGCCCATCAAAACGCTCGAGTTCTCGCCCAGTAGGCTTGAGGTAGGACATTATCTCCCAACCCAAAGTCACTTATCCTCTTCTTTAGTCCTGGAAATTGACTAAATTGGGGTAATGCGACTAGTCTCCATGCTCCAAATCCATGCGTCACCAAAGGGGTCTGGCTGCGGCTGTTTCACTGCTCCCCTCCCTGCAAGCCAACACTTAGATAATCATTGCAGCTTTTAGCTAGAATGAGACTCATCTAATCCGAGGCAGACAAGACATGTGACTGCATCCTGACCCAGCCCTCCTTTGGTAAATCAAACTGATTCCCCCAGCTTTCCCTGCAATTTGCTGCCAGTACTTGAGGAACAGCTCTTTTCAAATGCTCTGATCAGAGGAGCCGCCTCACACTGGATTCTCTACTTTAGCTGCCTTTTGAGTGCACTGCACTATGAACAGATGTTATGTCTCTTGGCTTAATCCTAAATGGCAGGTCCGGCAAGGGCAGACTCATTCCCAAGGGCTTCCAAGGTTTTAGCTCCAGCTCCAAACAACAACAAGGCACTGGCTGCAAGATGCATCATGCTGGTACTGCCAGTACCTTCCTTTCACTCATGTTGTACCTATTTCCTGGGTGGGGAGGCAACCCATTGCATTAGTAATATGCTTGCTTGAATCCATCCACACAAAACAGTACAAACAACCTATACAGCCAGGCCTGCTGAAAATGCCTCTGATTTTTTTGGGAGCAAAATGCAGAATACCACTCCTGCAGGCCTAGATTCATTCTCTTCTATGCTCCACATTTCAGCATTCCAAATGCAACCAGTGGAGCTGGTTTCTCCCCCTTCCTATTTCATAAAATATCCAGTGTCCAAGAGCAGATCAGTGGAAAGAAGACTGTAGGGGTTTATTGAGCATGTTAAATTTCAGAGATCCTGTACAACTAAGATTTATTAAGCACCAAGATATATTTTCCATTGTCCCTACAGTCCTTGTTTTTTTAAACAATGATGTGTTTTTTATGGCAGCTTGTGAATATTACAATTATTTTGATGGCATCTGTCATTTCACAGGTCATTTAAAGGGTGAACTGTTTTGATCTGATTTTAGGTGTTTCAGAGCTGTAAACAGACAGGGCAATATAAATTACTGTTGATCTCTCCCTTTTCTCCAATAGAGCAGTTGTTATAGAGCAGTGAAAGGAGCAGGATTTTTTTTTTAAATTATCAAAATTATTAACTGGAGCTCAACTACTGCAAGCCTCATTTGATGAGCCCTTATTCAGACATGAGTAGGTTGCCATAGGAATAAGGGTTGCACAGTCTGTTGGGCCGTAGGGGTTTTGAGTGTTCCATGAATGAATATTAGATATTCCTATGCCATATAAGACTCTTTGGTCTTTTAAAAACTATGGCTGTTTTGGTTGCATGAACATTTGACTTAGTACAGCAATCAGAAACGAGGACTTAACAACATATGCTAGCAGTTGTTATTGAACCTGAATCAAAGCATCAAGAAGGAGGAAGCTGGTTTACCATATTACCAACCCCAAGCATTAAAAAAGATAATTAGATTGGCTTAAAAATAATGCCACTCAAAACAACCCCCCAGGTCAACACAGTTTAGATTTTGTATGTTCTGCCTGGGTTTTGAATGTGCGCCCAACTTTATCCCCGCCATTATGACGGTTAGAAACTTCCTTCAAAAACCAACAAAAATACAGTCTAAACTTCTGACTTCTAAACTTATAATCACATGGCTCCAGAGGGGAACTAAAGAAACAACATCAACTGTTGTGACATATGTAGCAACTCTGTGGTCAGTTAATTCAAAACAAGTGGCTAAATGGACACACGATCCATCAGGTTTTGTTTTGATGTTGTATTTCCTTTTGTTGTTTATAGAGAGCCTTGAGCACGCTTGGGGATTGACAAACAGAAGGTACTGCTCCTGCCCACTGGAGGACAGAGTTAAAGGTTTTATCCTAAGTACATTAAAATGAATTTAACATAATGAAGTGCAATTGGCAAGGACCCAACCTGCAGGCCTTTTGCTGGGCCACATCATAGAAACATAGAGAAGCTAAGCTGAAAGGGACCTCAGATATCACCTAGTCTAGCTCCCTACAGGAGGCAGGATCATCCCTATCCAAACCATCCCATACAAATCCATTGTCTCACCTCTTAGCAAAAACAATATAGACCACATTTGGCCTGTGGGCAGGTAGATTGGGAAAGTATACGTGCCTGTACAAGGGCTGACACCAAATATAAGGCTGGGACCCTCTTCCCATCCCACTCAGCATCAGCCTGCAAAATGGGACACTCACCGCAAGAGATGGCTCTTCCCCTGCACAAGCAACTCCAGGGAGATCTGAAAGAAATCTGGAGTTTTGCACAAATAACGACCTCAGTCAGCCACAAGGGCTGTGCAAGATGAACTGTAGAGAGGCAGATGGGATTGGATGAGAAATGTGCCTGAAGGGCAAGAGTAGCATTTAGAAAGAGGCCTCTTTGTTCATTGGTGCATATCCAGGGCCTGTGGAAATTCAGTACTCCTATAAAGATAGAAAGGTTTGTCTCCCTAGCAATCCTAATATACATGACACAGTTCTGAGCATGCAAAATGGAACTGAGTATGCATGCAGAGTACCAGTATTGGCACACGCTATTCCATGACAAGGCAGGCACCTGCCACAAGAAAGCTGTACCAGTGTCCAGGTATAACAGTGGTAGATTGATAATGTTGAAGCAGGCTGAGTTTAGTCAGGATGTACTAGTGCACAAGAGCTTCTAGGATTTTTGCTGATGATTCGCAAGTTCCCAGCAGTGTCTTGGAATGACCATGTACTCCAATGCTCGCATAATCACACTCAGTTGTGTTTACACGGCTCCAGAGGAGCTGCAGGTAGGTGTGAGACTGGGGATACAAGTGCCAGTGCCTGAAAGTGTAAGTCTGTTTGGATAATCAATGTCTGTAGAGGTGGGTAAGCAGGGAAGTGGTGCTACTTAGCAGACACGTCGTGCTGGAATTCAGAGCAAGCAATAATATGAGTTGCATAAAGCTCCAGGAAAACATACCCCATTTAGCGATGTTAATGCATTCAGCAGCAGTTGTGTATTAACAGGGATAGCAGTCTAGCACAGAAAGCTACTGAATCAGGAGCTGAGATGTGAGGAAGATCAGCAGCACTTCTCCCAGCATTGTGCCCCAGTCATAGGACCATCCTGCCTACTCAGAAGGACCTCTTTTCTGATAGAGGGTGCAAGGCCAAAAAGAGAGAGTACTGGAACTTTTCTTCACTCTGGAGAAAAGTAACCAAGACGGGACTGACTCTGAGGTAAAGTTGGGAAAGGGATCAGGGTTAAAGGGATGTCATGTATGACTTGGCTCAAAAAATCATAGAATCATAGAAAATGAGGGTTGGAAGGGACCTCAGAAAGTCATCTAGTCCAACCCCCTACTCATAGCAGGACCATCCCCAACTAGATCATTCCAGCCAGATGGAAAAAAAGAAGAAGCTGAGAACCTATTTTCATGAAGGTGGGAATTATGAATAGAGAGAGAAAGATTCTTATGAGTTTAGGTAGCAGGTAACAACCAGAAAGTCATGGTGATGGAGTTGGTTTGTGTAGCAGCTGGAGTTCTAGCTGAAGTTGGATCCATAGCTTCACTGTTTCTCAAGTATTTTGTGGGAGAGGAATGACTTTGGCTCTGTAAGAGTGGTAACCTCACTTGAGTGAAGGGCCTTTAGCACAGCCCATTTCCAAACCCACTGACTGAGCTTTATGCAGTGGGTGGCTTGGGTGAGCTCACCGCAAAAAAGTTAAATTTTGGCTGGTTCTTCCATCGGTATACATCTGGTTAGAGGGAAATGAATGAGAAAGATG